TTCACTAATACATGTCTGCGGTTACGAGCGATATGTAGTATGTAGTACATAGTGTGTACAATCGTATCTACTCTACTGTACCTACTGTTCAATAGGAGGAAGGCCCAGCAAAAGGCCCCTTCCATGCTAGGGCGGCATGCCATGGAAGCCTTCCCCTACCAAGTTCGAAAACGCGCTGGCCGGGGGACGCTTGCTGGCTTGCTGGCTGGCTGGCTGGCTGGCTGGCCAGGTGGCTGGTGGTGGTTGATCAGTCCAGCCACAGCCAAGCCACAGCCAAGCCACAGCCAAGCCACAGTCTATCCCCTGCAACCTTAGCGCTCCAGGGCTGCCCAGCCTCAACTCTGAATTTCCCCAGACACGAACCTCACCTCACCTCGGCCGTCTGCAGCCTCCCCTCCCCACCCATTGCGGCGCCGACCATCACCATGAGCGCCCGAATACCCTCGCGGCGGCTGGCGCAGTCTGGTAGGTTTCTATTACACATTACAGCCCTTCCCCTTCCCCCCACCCCCCACAAAATGGACGTCTTCTCCGCCGCCCTCGCCCCGCTTGCTATGCACCGCACTATTCCACATATTCCACAACGCATTAGAGAGACAATATAGAACTGATATCGCACAGCCCTTGCCGCCGGCCGCCCTCGATCCACCTACTGGGCTACATCAGCAGCCTTCTCCACCACGCCTCGGCGCTCCCAGGACACCAAGGCGAAAGAAGTCCTCAGCCCATTCGAGGACTACCTCGCAAAACAAAGGGCGGCGAAACAGAATGCAAAAAAACCACAGGCGTCCGCCCAGCCCGAAGTGCGGCAGGGAAAGCTCTCTACAAGTCCCACAAACCTCTTCCGCCCAGAGCTCGATGTGCCCGGATGGCGTGAGGACATGACCCCCGAAGAGAAGCAGGCATTACGGGCGCATAAGCGGCAGCGAGCAGAAGAGCTTGCCAAAGAGAAGGAGCGCCAACTTACTTCAATGAATACCGACCCCGCCCCCGGTCAGCGAAGAAGACTGGAGCGCAGACTCATCATCGCCAGCGTGAAGCGTGGTGGTCGCCTGACCAAGGCCCAGAAGATTGCACGCACCGAGCGCCAGAGCCTGTACAGGTCCCATTTCCTCCCCACCTCGGTGAAGAAGATGCAAAAGGTCATAAACCAAGTTGCCGGCAAGAGCGTCTCCGACGCCCTCGTTCAATTGCGCTTCTCGCCGAAGAAGGTGGCGCGCGATATCATCAAGGGTCTCGAGTATGCCCAGAACGAAGCCATTGCAGAGCGGGGAATGGGCCTTTCAGGCGGAAAAGCAGCCTTGGAACGGTGGAAACAACAAAGATCGGACGCGGATCAAAACACCCCACGCGATGTCTGGGATTACAAAACCTCGCCAGAAGACAAGCCAGCAAAGTCTACGGACAAGACTGCGAGAAAGCGCAAGCCGGAGACGATTGAACTCAAGGACGGCACGAAAAAGGTCGTTCAGCCCTGGGATATCTACATTGATCAGGCGTGGGTGGGCCGGGGCCAGACTACCAAGTCAGGAGAGCCCAGGGCGAGAGGTGCCATCAACACATTGAGGCATCGCACAACAAGTACGTAGCCCTTCCTTCTAATCCCCTCCCAATCCATTGCATATGCACAGCAATGCTGACAAAACCCCACAGGCTTTACCTTTTTGCTCAAGGAAGAGAAGACCCGCATGCGCATCTCAGACGAGATCAAGAAGAAGCGGGATAACCGCAAGCTCTGGACTGCACTGACTGACCGACCCATTACTTCGCAACGGCAGTATTGCTTGTGGTGAACACAACAGTGGGTGGTGCTGTGTATGTAGGTGATGTGTATGACTCCCGCCAGCTTGTATCCACTGGCTTGTACAATATACCCTTTTTCAAGGTTCCCATGATATTTTGAACACGCGACTGTATCCACACGCTTTCAATGCTCCCAGAAGTCCAATATTCTCTGTAGTGACTGCAGATGCAGCAAGTGGTAAGCCCCAAAAACGAAAATAGCATCTAGACATGCTTCAACCTGGAGATTTTGAACAAATTTATACACCGCATGCAGCACTCCGAAAGAGAAAAGAAATCAGATGTGGAAAAATGCGTTCTCGTCAGCTAGGAGATATATACCGAACCCATCCGTTTCCCATTGCCCTCATCTCACCGCCGCTCGAAATCCCCGCATTCCCAAAAAAAACTTTTCCCGCACATCACAAGCGTACAAACAATGAGCGGCAAAACATGCCCCCAGAAGAGGAAAGAGAGCAAAAAACAACAACGCCAGCGCTATGCAATCAATCTCCTTCCACATCCGCATCCCCACGAACCCTCCTAGCCGAGCAAAGGAGAAAAAGGAACCGCCCAGGAAAAATTGAGAATTCAAATAGCATCGAACCCCTTCTCCCCCACCACCGCACTTGCCTGCAACATATCCACCATACCCCTAACACTCCACGCAATCTGACTAGCCTCAACCGTCATCTTAACCTTTTGCGTCAGCGCATCGACCAGGCCGTCAATCTCCTCGCTGCGGCCCAACTGATCGGCATACAAATCGAGCACGACGAGGGCGACATCCGTCGTCAGCCGGGTGATGCGGTAGTCTGAGATGTTTTTGATGAGCCAGCGGAGGATGGGCTGGAGGGTGGCTTCGTCGCGGTTCTTGAGGGCGGCGCGGAGGGCGGAGCGGTGGGTTAGGGCGGTGAGGAGGGTGAGGGACTGGGCGCGGGCGTTGGAGTCCTGTGGGGTTGGGGGGGGGAGTGGTTAGTGTACTGTTGGGTGAAAGAGGGGGGCTTTGTTGGATTCTCTATACTGATATGAGGGAAGAAGGCTGGTGAGTCTTACCTTTGTTTCCAAGACCATGTCCAATGCTTTCGAGTATTGTCCTGCCCGTAGCGCATGCGCCCATGGTAGACCTTGGTTTATTCTTCCCCTTGCGTTACCCTCGATGACGATGTCGGCTGTTTCGCCGGTGAAATCTTTGCCGCGAAGACGCTTTTCCCAGCCCTTGCCTCGTTTGCGCTTCTTGCTTCGATCGTATTCTTCAATCTTGCCTTCCATCAGGGCTTTCATTTCCTTTTCTCTTTCGCGAGCTTGGGCCTTTTGTTCGCCGGAGAGATGGGTCTTGATGGACAAGAGTCCGGATTGCATACCCACGGCGATGTGCTTGTCTTCTTTGGCGGATGGGATCACGCTCAAAGAGAGGATGGGGGAGGGGTATTTCAGGCCACTGACTACGTTCCAGCCGGTTGTCTCGAAGATTTTGACATGGCCGTCCAAGCCACCAGATAGAAGCCTTTCGCCGTTATTAGCGAGCGAGAGTGCAGTGACTGTCTTTTGGTGATTGCGCAACATGTGGATAGGTTTCGCAGCCACAATGTCGAGAACGCTAATGACGTTGTCGCTTGTAGCTAGCACAGCGGTTCCAGAAGGCATGGGCAACACAGCCTCAATAGGAGCTGCATGCTTGAACACCATGACTGCTTTTCCACCTGCTCTTGAATCCCATAGGCGTACCGTCTGATCATAACTTCCCGACACCAACAGCCCACTTTGCGCTGGCATGAACGAACCACAGCGCACGTAATCTTGATGTCCATCAAACTTCATGACACTCTTGTCGCTCGGTAGATCCCACAAACGCACCGTCCTGTCGTCGGAACAACTCATCAGATCGGTCAATTCGGTTGGATGCCATTGCGTGACCCAAACCGGCTGCTTGTGTTCTTTCCATGTCTTCAAGATAGCCCTGCTCTTTACATCGAATGCCTGAATCGCACCGCTGTCTCCTCCCGCTACCAAAATGCGCCCATCACGCCTGATATGTCCTGAATGCGCAACATCATCCACATTGAAGCGCGAGATGGTCTTTACAACTTTGCGCGTCTTTGACGAGAATATCTGCACGCGTGGCCCAGTAGTCACCGCGAACAGTTCTTGGGCCGCAGAAAGCGCATTGGAGGTTGGTGCAGGCGGTATCGAAATAGAGGTTACGGGCGACGAGTGCTGCGAAGGGTCGAGACGGAGCTCCGAGGTGAAGGAATTCCAGTATTTTTGCTCTGATGTGAGGGTAGAGGGGCCCTTTGGCAGCTTAAGAGGCTGCACTAGTTGGACTTCGGCCGCCATTGCGAGGATGTGGTGAGTTGAGTGGTTGGCGTAGAGCTTGCGTTGCGGTGGTGGACGTCGTCTCGCGATGCGCTGCGATGACTTTTTTTGTGGAGCATTTGAGCATTTGGGATAGCATGGCGCTAGCCGGAGCGGGAATGATCCTCCCCACTGGTATTTGCTCTACACCACACATCACTAGGGACAAACAACAAAAGTTCATCAAACAGTTTTCCATGATATAGACAGGCCCTTTGAGTTTTCGTCTGTATCATGTTAAAGAAGTCGATATACTGTAGCCATACAGCAGTTATGGCCCATGTTGTGCATAGGCAAAAAAGCTCACGCTTCGCCTCCTGGAACGTCAACTCCAAGGCAGCATCATCATCTGTCATTCAGATATCCCTTTGTAGATCTCATACACAGTTCGCGAGGATGTATTATTGATTAATTGCATCACACAAACTCAAGTCGTCGTCCATAGTATCACGCGATATCATGGCTAACGACTCAGTAAACCGTAAGCACCAATCTCTTCGGTTTCACTGCTCTGGAAGATTATGGATCATGTACCGCAAGCGATACTACCCATTTCCAGAATAAGCTATGGACCCTTCTGGATTGGGCGGCAAGCTAATTCATGACTATTCATCCTCCAGGCTTTGACACGTCCAAGGCAATCTCATTACCAGGAACGTTTGAATTATGACTCCCACAAAGACGATACTGTTAAAATAGCATCGAAGGCACATCCAGCGAGTCTCCCTACTTCCCAGCATGACGCGATTGCCCCGTCCAACCACAATCTCAAGCTCAACGACTTCACCAGAATAGCTAGGTGCCCTTCATGATATCTCCTCAAGTCAGATACGTTCTGGAGGTCGACAGTATGTCCTCTAAGCTTCGCCTCACGCACCCATCCACCACAAATCCCGTCTGTCCCCCCCAAACCCTCTCCAAAACCCAGTAAATATATCGAACTCCCCCACCCGCCATTTGCTGACCCACACCCAATTCGAAATCGGGTGCCCACCCGTCATGTCAACCCAAATATCCTATGATAGTTAGCAAGGGGAAAAGGCAGTGAACTCACAAGTTGCGACTGATGCCCACCCAGGCTAAGGCGAGGTTCGTTCGATAGCAGAATTGGGGATATCTGGTTATTTAAACGTGTGTTGGGTGTCGTGTTAATGGATTAGGGTGCGTCATGCGCGACAAACGGGCTGTTCTTGAGCCTGTCGATTTCACTGAGAGGTGGTATATGGTATGTCTTGTAGATTCGACCGCGACGCTAATGACTCACTTCAAATCCGATGCTCTAGTGTACGCCAAAACCTATGCACCCAGCTCTCCAAGACAGCGCTTAGATACCAGCACATTTTGAAGCGAGCCTGTCTGTATACCGCTACCGCGATTTTTGCGCCTTAGCACACTGATTCACTACCTCTCATCTCGATCTTGTTATCTGACAACGACAGACCGGTTGATCAAGAGATTGAAAGCCCATATGTTGTTTCTCTAGCTATTAGTGCAGAGCTCGCCAGTATAGCAGTGGTGCAATGCCTCATCAAGCCAGAATCGCAACTTGTGAACAGGCTGACAGAGCCGAAGCTACAAGGCACCGATTGATGAAATCTCTTGTCACTGATTCTGGAACACGGATTAGATATACCATGCGCATGTAGCTATATACATTCCCGATATACATCGTATAAATCATAGCATTATCACACCTAGAGTCCCTTGAGCGGAACCGTCAAATTCACTTCACATACACTGGTTATGTTGGCAAAAGATCTCAAATCAAAGCATCACGGTGACATTGCTCATCTTGACCGGATATAATCATCCGTGAGATTCGGGCTCGATTCTGATTTTGTTCAAGAGGCTATCAGAGATGGCGCATTACACTTTCCTGGAGAAGGGAAACCTCTCTTCCTCACCTCGTGATGCACATTACAAACCCCATAATTCACCCTGCGAGCAGACTCCTGTCCCTACAATCTCTTGCAAACCACTTTTTCCCAAAGTTCTTCTTCTTTGTCTTTGGAAACACTACTCCCATCTCACCATCATCGCAATATCCAGATCCCCATCCCCATCCCCATCCATACCGATAACAACCCACCACACCCCTAAACCAACCCCCAAACCATCAGAACAGTATTATCACACACTTACACAAATCCTCAACGCACAATTCCCTCCACACCGGGAACAACCCATTTATCCCCCCCGCACCTAATCCTGCTTGAGTCAGAAGCAGGAATTGCGCGGGCCGAAGCGGATATGGAATGTTGAGAGTGCGTTGATAAGGCCGGTGATTTGTGGATTTTCTAGTGTGGAGTGCAGGAAGGAGCGTATATGTATGCGCCAGTTCCTAGTTGTAGAGGAGGGAGGTGTAGAAGGGCTGTGTGTGTGTGTGTGTGTGTGTGTGTGTGTGTGGGATATGTGAAATCCTGATGGTGTTTTGCACGGGTTTGGGGATGAGCAGGTGCCTCGAGCGCAGTGCACACATTTGATATTTGAAGAACGATAAGGGGTAACAAGGCTTGCGATTTCAATCCGTCGATGTTTCTGCTTGATCGGGATTATAACCTATTTCCAACCAAGTGGACCACTGGTGTTGCAAAAGGTCTGTTGCCTTGGGTATCAACTTTCAAGGCTCAAGAATAGTGATTGTGTTTTGTCCATCCAACTCATCTACAAGTTCCTCCATGGCTAATGTACTTCTGAGAGGGGGAGGGAGTGAAGAATTCTCTCGCATACAGAAGCTCAAGGGATAATTCTTCATAGGACAAGGGAGATATGGAGACATGGTGTCCATATGTCAAGTGTGACGGGAGCGAAAGAGGGCAAACAAGGCCGTTTCTGAATCCCTAGTCTCAAGGACTGTTTCGAGGGAGAGTATTGTGCAGGTCATCGCGTGCAGGGCTAATATGTCCCAGAGTTGTCCTGCTCCATTTTCAATTTCTTTGCGTGGAGAGCCCTTCCCCGGACTTGGATTTTGAATTGAAATTTCTTCGGAAATGCATGAGAAGACTTTCATGCGGCAAGAGATCATCCATTCGGCCCGGAATCTGCTATAAGTATCAGGCAAAACAGACAAAACTGCGTCTACTTCGTCGCACCAAGGTCCCATGTAGGATCCAGAATATCAGCATTGAACCAATCCAGTGAAGGCTGCGACTGGAACAATTGCCACATCATGTCGTCGTTCCATGATGATGGCAAAGTTTCACCGACATCACTGTTCGGGATGTTGGCGTCTGTGCCATTGAGTGTTGTGTCAAAGGTCATTGCGTGCGGCTCTGCGCTAGTATGTGCCGTGCACCCTGTCGACAATGGTTGCGCTTGCCCATTGAAGCTGGTGAGCTGTACTAGAGGCTTACAAAGGCCCAATAATGTCGTACACAATCTATGCAGCCGGTTGACGAACTTGTTCTCGGTGACTAGTTTGGAAATGCCGTTGGTGACATCTTGTAGCAGCTCGAAGTCTTGAGCATCAGAAGTGCCGACAACGTTGCAGAACACGACGAAAAATGGACACAAAGGGTACGACAGTATGGTCCTACCAAACGTTAATGATGCCTTACGCGGTAAAGACTATTACATACCAAGCCAGGTAGGGGTCGTAGCCTTCAATAAAGTGTCCCAGTTTCTTCCCAAGCTCTTGGATGGCTATGACACACTCGAGTGCCTTTCGGGCACTCTGAAGACACTCTTCCCTCTCCGAAGGATTCGTTGTGCATGAAGGACTAAGTCGATGAACAGAGGTCAAGGTCGAAAAGTACTTGAACTCAAGGCATTTCCAATGAAGGAGGATATCTAGTCGAGCTTCGATCAGCTTTGTCGGTCGCTCCTGATCCAGTTAGTTTTATAAGAAGAACGACAGCCATATAGTAACACTGCATAATCACCTTAGTCATAAGCTCGTATATCCTAATCATCTCAGCCCGCAACCAAGTCACATCCTCCTTCAATGTTGATATCGGCCGCTTTTGTGGGGCTTCCAATGTAAGATCCAACAACTTGTTGTGGACTGGAACCATTTCCATGGCCATGATCTCGAATATACTCATTGGATTTGTCAAGTCGAAGTGTTTTTTGAGCAAAGCTGACGGAGTGACGTGGAGTGGGGGTAGAGACCTAGGTCGTAAAAGAAGGAGGCTCATGACACTGTCAAACTGCGAACACCATGCTACAACGGCATGGATGTCTTCTGTAAACTCATTGGGTGGATCGTCCAGGCGAACAGTGTGGTAACCTAACGCAACAATAGTGCGTGACGCGTGTGATGAGAGCTCCCAACAACTAGCTGGGTTGCCTATGATCTGCATCATCATAGCCCCTGTTATGAGGGCCTGAACAAGGAGCAATGACGGGGCTGTCAAGAAACTGACGCTGTCTAGGGCCGTGAGTGCTGCGGTGAGATGCTCGTACTCGAGTTGTCTGATATGCTTCTGGACCGCTGGACTTTTGGGACCCTGTAATGTGCTGGCATAGAGTACTACAGCAGCTTTGAAATGAATGATGACTTTGTACAAGTTCAACGTTTTTTCATCTGCGGTACCTTCCATCAAATTAAGAGCGATACGCTCGACTGCTTTTGGCGGAATGTGATCGAGAGTATGGAACTGTACAGACAGATCATCGTGGGCTTTGGTCTCCGCTAGGGGGATTTTATTAGACCGCTAACGTGAGGCGAGCGAATGTAGACTTACTGCCCAGGATAACATTGAGGATCTCGCCTTGTGACAAGTCTGTTCGAATGTACATGGACTTATCAAAGGTACTTCGGTCCGTGATCGCTGGGACAGGAGCATGCGATAGATGATCGACGAACGAAATCGCCGTCTCAAGCACAGAACGTTGGTGACTAGAGAGAAGGCCATTGGTTGACAGTTCTCTACTGATGAGATGTCTGGCTTCGTGTGCTGATTGTTGCGTCACATCAACTTCTGGGGTAGACGCTGGAGCCAGACCCTCAGCCAAGCTCACAGTACGCTGTCTCTTAGCTGGACGTTCGGGCGAGGTGATGCCAACGGTAGTGGACACTTGCCCGGCCCTTTCCTCCCCGGCCCTTTCCTCTGGAACGACGCTTGGAGTGCGTTGTGTGCTAAGCACCGAGTGTTCTAGGCTTGAAAGTCTCTGTACAAGCGCTTGTATCTTGTCATCGCTGACACATGTCAGTTTTTGATAGTTTTACCTTGAAGAGGCATCAAGCTCGCTCATCTTTGGAGCACGTCCGGATGTGCATACGGTACGAGTATAATCTAGCCGCGTCCGGCTTAACTGACACGAAGCAAACTTACGTTCGAACCTTCGGGCGTGGCGGCCGCTTGTGTCTGTTGCGAAGGCATTCAGCTTTCGTAGCTACACAACTGGAGCATGGGTCTTGGCGATCGCATTTGACCTATAGTTGGGTGAGTTGATGTGGATCGCCTGGGTGTTCCGACGACTTAGGTAGAGCACTGTACCTTTCGGGCATGGCATAGGTCGCATGCCGGCACACCTCCATGGGCACTCCAATTTTCTTCTGGCATTTACTAATTAATGCCGGCAACTTTGCGTAGCGACAGAGAGGCTCCTCGGACATCCACAGTCGTCATAGTAAGAGAGACTCTGAGAGAGGAGGGTGAAAGTTTCGGAGAATCGGGTACATTCTTATCCGAGATTCGGAAGTCTTGGCACACGGTCTCTGTGGCGGTACATAGGTTCTGCCTACACGGTATACGAATAGTACACCACTTGAGCATACGATCCACTTGTAACTACACGTAGAACATACGCACTGGTTGCTCTATCCTGGAATTCGATCGAGTCACTGGTAATAGACAGGTCATGCGACTCCATTCTGCACATGTGCCCATGGCGTGGATCCAAGTCGTCTAATAGAGTGTCTACCACACCTTTCATCCTTGGTCCACCAATCCTACTCTCCATCTCCAGAAAAACAAAGTGTGGCCCACGATGAAACTGCAAGAGGAAAATGATCGATCCCACATGCGCTCCCCACGGCTACTCCCGGCGCACCAACCAAACCGAGCATTAGCTCCCACCCGAACAACGATTCCATCAAGGACGCCTGGCTCAAGTATAATGTGCCTGGGTAGATGCATGTCATCCATCGGCTCTGTGATTACGATAAGAAAATCTCGGCGCCTTGTCATGGAAGACAAGTATGTAGGTTAGTTGGGAATTCCGACAAGCAACGTCTGTCGCAAGGCTATGGTAACGTGGGATGTTAGTTCATCTCATGTCACAAAAGATACCTAAGCATGAGCGCGTGTTGTCGCACAGATTTGCACCAGAATCATCCCGTCGAGTACTGCCGCGCAGTTGAGAGCTGCATGGGAGAGCGTCGGGGAATTAGAATCAGAGCCGCAAAACCAGAGCTTGACAAGGATTGAAAGTCTTGGGTAATTATTAGGTCATGGTACCGTAGCGGCGGAGAGGAGTTCGGAGTTTGGATGAACGACGCCCACGCCATGTGGGACGGGAGGAACGATTGTGGGTGGCGAAAGTCGTAACCAGGGGGGTACTCTGAGCTTGGTGGAAGTGGCACAGCCCATTTGCGAGTACTGGAAGTGTAATGCGGTTACGACAACGTGGGATGACGATTGATTTCTGCTGGGAGACGGTGAGGGTTAGGTCTGGATCCCACTTGATTACCTGTACGGTTGCGAATAGAGTTGAGAAGTTGTGAAATTCTTGCTCGGCCGAAGGGGCGAGCCATTTCGAGGCCATTCAAAGGTTACACAAACCTTGAAAAGGCCAGCCAGTGTGAAGGAATCTTGTATAAGGTTTGCCGTGCCTGACTCACAAGAACCGTCCCAATCGAGGGTGAGATATGGCTACTAGATTGAAGATGCTGGATGCGGGTGAGGCTGCGATGGTGGGATGCGTCACTCACCAATGAAGTCGAACACGCTTTTCCCCATTGAGCACTGGATGCAGATGGAGTGGACGTCGTGTAGAGCGAACAGCAATGCAGACATATTGCTCCATGGTCCTAGACATAGTCTAACAAAGTAAATCTGGCTATATGCCGGATAGCTGAATGGCAAAACCCGTGCACACCACACCTAGGAGTACACATGATGCAGACGTACAGTACCTAGCAACGGTCTGCTACGTCGCCATCCGTGACCGCTTTGTGGCCGTCGGCTATGTCTGTTAGCAAAGAGAAAGGGTGGACCTAGTAGTACTAGTAGTGGTAGTAGTAGTGGTAGTAGTAGTAGTAGGAGGAGGAGGAGGTGGACACGGACACGGCCACGGACATGAGATGCAATCGTGATTCGTCTTGCCGCAAATAACATTCGCCACGATTGCAAGTTTGGGTGGTGACCTCGGTGCGTTCCCAGAAGGGTAAATTTCTTTGGTGAAGGGCGTGTGCGGTGAGGTTGAGGCGCTGTGGCAGGGGTGGCCAATCAAGGACATGCATTTGACACAGCGTGGGGGGTCATCCGAACATCGCGATAAGCAGGTGCGGCCAGCGTCGATGCCGTGTGGTTAGAGCAGTACGGCACTGTACCTCTTACACCAAGGGGGGGCAATCTACTACCCAACAGCCCAAAACAAGGGGCTTTTCGGGTGCTGCTGCTCATTCGACGTCTGCATGTACCTACAGCAGGTAGACTGCCCTTTGGAGACGGAAACGCAGTGTGTCGTAGGTCATCGTGATGATGGTGTTTTGCAGTCACAGGCAACGCTGCTGGACCACGATTCCTCTGACGAAGGCGTGTTACAAATGGTCTGGACCTTTGAAGGCGTGTTTACAAATGGCCTGAATGCTGGGCTCGTGTGGGGTTCCCTTGCCCGCTCTCTCAACGGGCCTGGAGACGCGCGCATAGGAAATGCTGGGCGTGCCTGTATGTACTGTGGAGGTATACCTCTTGTACTGCCTCTCCTGGGCCGATAGCGCATTGGCGCAGGGGTGGGGGCCAAAGGAGGGGGGGGGGGGGGGGGAAAGGGGGACAAAATATCAGTATTTTATCATGGGGGAAACCAACTCTCAACCAGGCTTGGGGCCCACATGGAGATTTAGAATCTTGTCCATTTTAACCAGTATATCCCAACCCTAGGGGGGTTGGGGTGCCTTCCTGCCTGGCAAAAAGAACAAATCAATTGGAACACCATAGAACAAAAAAGGAAGAAAGGGCCCCAATTTCCTTAGGGCCCCAAATGGAAAAAACGGTTGGGCTGCGGCGAAGGGTTTTTAAAGGAGTGGCTTCGTGGGGGCTCCCCCCCGAACCCCGGCATTTGG